ATGGTATCAATATGCCAAACCTAGGGTGATTTCAGTTAATGAACATGATATGAATATGACATACCTAGGGTGATTTCAGTTAATCAAACATGATATAAATATGACATACCTAGGGTGATTTCAGTTAATGAACATGATATAAATATGACATACCTAGGGTGATTTCAGTTAATGAACATGATATGAATATGGCATACCTAGGGTGATTTCAGTTAATGAACATGATATGAATATGGCATACCTAGGGTGATTTTAGTTAATCAAACATGATATAAATATGACATACCTAGGGTGATTTCAGTTAATCAAATATGATGTGAGTATGCCATACCTAGGATGATTTCAGTTAATCAAACATGATATAAATATGACATACCTAGGGTGATTTCAGTTAATGAACATGATATAAATATGACATACCTAGGGTGATTTCAGTTAATGAACATGATATGAATATGGCATACCTAGGGTGATTTCAGTTAATCAAACATGATGTAAATATGACATACCTAGGGTGATTTCAGTTAATCAAATATGATGTGAATATGGCATACCTAGGGTGATTTCAGTTAATCAAACATGATATAAATATGACATACCTAGGGTGATTTCAGTTAATGAACATGATATGAATATGGCATACCTAGGGTGATTTCAGTTAATCAAACATGATATAAATATGACATACCTAGGGTGATTTCAGTTAATCAAACATGATATGAATATGACATACCTAGGGTGATTTCAGTTAATGAACATGATATGAATATGACATACCTAGGGTGATTTCAGTTAATCAAATATGAAGTGAATATGATATACCTAGGATGATTTCAGTTAATCAAACATGATATGAATATGACATACCTAGGGTGATTTCAGTTAATCAAACATGATATGAATATGACATACCTAGGGTGATTTCAGTTAATCAAACATGATATAAATATGACATACCTAGGGTGATTTCAGTTAATGAACATGATATAAATATGACATACCTAGGGTGATTTCAGTTAATGAACATGATATGAATATGACATACCCAGGGTGATTTCAGTTAATCAAACATGATATAAATATGACATACCTAGGGTGATTTCAGTTAATCAAACATGATGTTGAATATGCCACACCTAGGGTGATTTCAGTTAATCAAACATGGTATCAATATGCCAAACCTAGGGTGATTTCAGTTAATGAACATGATATGAATATGGCATACCTAGGGTGATTTCAGTTAATCAAACATGATATAAATATGACATACCTAGGGTGATTTCAGTTAATGAACATGATAAATATGACATACCTAGGGTGATTTCAGTTAATGAACATGATATAAATATGACATACCTAGGGTGATTTCAGTTAATGAACATGATATGAATATGGCATACCTAGGGTGATTTCAGTTAATGAACATGATATGAATATGGCATACCTAGGGTGATTTCAGTTAATCAAACATGATATAAATATGACATACCTAGGGTGATTTCAGTTAATCAAATATGATGTGAGTATGCCATACCTAGGGTGATTTCAGTTAATCAAACATGATATAAATATGACATACCTAGGGTGATTTCAGTTAATGAACATGATATAAATATGACATACCTTGGGTGATTTCAGTTAATGAACATGGTATCAATATGCCAAACCTAGGGTGATTTCAGTTAATGAACATGATATGAATATGGCATACCTAGGGTGATTT